GGTGTAGTTTTGCAAATTCAAATGAGAAGTTAAAAACAACTTTAAAAACCCACAAGAATCTCATTTCACAAAAGATCTGAACAGTCTTGTCACTAACATATTTCATGTTGATTAAAGAGGTCCAAGAAGTTTTGAAAAAAAGCACTGAGCTAAAACTGACCGCATATTTTTGGGATCATATTTGGAGATGGAAACATGAGCAATTGGCTCTCCACAGAAACATTCAAAAGGAACTAAAGAAAAAAGAACTATGAAAGTCTGAATATAAACGTTGCTTAGATTTTCACACTTTAGCTCTTTAAACAAATGTATTTTATCTGTTTCATAAAGTCCTGTAGATATTTTTTTTTTTTAAAAGCAGAGTGAGTTTTTGTAAAATGTATTAGAGTCGCCAAGCGTTTCATGCAGGCGCAAGTAATCTCTTTCTGTCGTATATGAAATAATAACATAACGGCGACCCAGAAAAGAAAAAAAAACAAATGCTATTTTTCATCTAACCGGCCTTTTACGAGCTGAGACGCACAACGGATCTGCAGAAAAGCAAAGGCCAGTGGGTGTAAGCTTACTTGTCACACACAGGAGCTGCTTATTCATCAGCTCTGTTTCAACTGTCAACTTTCAAAACACATTATAAACAAAAAAGCTCTACTCTGTTCGACCCTTTACAAGGTTTTAAATCTGCCTTCAAGTGGCTGCTAGTAAAAGAAAGGTTGTGCTCGAGGGCGTGAGGGGGGAGCATTTAGATTCTGCACAATCTTATTCTTCGAGGTGGATTCCCTTTTCCTAGATTGGGATCTGCTTTGGGAACCTTAGGAGAATGGCTGGGGTTCTTCTGTTCTCATTGGCTGAATTCATTCATTCAGTGAAACAGACAATAATAAAACAATCCCGATCGAGAAAGTTACGGAATATTTCTACTGTAGCACTCCAATTTGTTGTAATAAGCTTGCTACAAAATTATTGTGCAAGCGCAAAAAGAAGAAGAAAAGAAACAAAGTCGACCTAATTTCGTCCCTTGAGATCTTGCTTTCAACTGATTTCTGTTGTTTTACACCGTATGATAAGCGCACTTATTAGTACATATAAAGCAAATGCTTTTTGTGTAAATTTGCTGTATGACATTTTTGTATATGCTCGGGTATGGATGCATCTCCTCTGGTATTTATGAAAGACATTCAGGACGTTTACAAGGAAAATGTGCAGATTTTTTACTACCATTTTCACGAATAGCCTGCATGGTCCGGGATTTTTACAGGTTTTTTTTTTCCCCTCCCGTTTTTTTTTTCTTTCTCTATTGGTGAGTTCTGTGCAGACCGGTCCATCCAAAGAAATTTTTTTTATTTTTCTTTTTTTTTGCGTTGAATAAGTTGTCAAAGACATTACAACCGGGAGTACCTATAATCTGGTGACACCATATCCTGCCGGTGATCCACTGATTAATCCCAAGGGACACTAATTTCTGCCTTACTCTCATATAAATCCAGATCCAATAAATAAATTTACAAAAAAATCTAGATCATGATAAGAAGCCGATTGGGATAATATGGAGCATTAAATGACACCACTCGATTTTTGCTCCGCGGAGCTCAAGAAGCTGAAAACTTCACTTTTGTTCATCACTATGGTTGAAATATGAACGGAATAAATAAATAAATAAATAAAGGAGGAAAGAAAATTACAAAATTTACGCGGACATTTTTTTTTTAAAACTCAGAAATAATAAAATTGTGTTATAGTAACTCAAATCTTACCGTTGCTACCTCGATGATATATATATTAAACGGCGCTGGTTCCGAGAAAACTACAAAGTTTTTGTTTTCCTGGATTCTTACAGAGACAGAGCCTCTTCCTAACAAGAACCAGTACAAAAAGCATTTAATTTTGAACATGGTTTTGATTTTCTAGTAGTGCAGACACGAGGGTATTTAAGTAGTTTTCGTCTCCAGTTGATTTATATGATCTAATTGTGTGTATTCCCATGACTGTGTTCATTGGCATATTTGAAAATAGAGCTGCATATGCGTATGAGGTTTGAGTTGAGGTAGAAGTAGGAAGACAATAAATAGATCAATTTTGATGTAGAGGAGAATGGGTTGGCTTTTTTTTTAAAGCTAAGATGTTTCTTTTTCTTTTGTTTGTTTTGTTTTTACTGCTTTTTGGATATGTTGCATTTATATGGCTGTACAAGCACTTAAACGTACTGTCTGAACATGTTCGACATAAAGCCATCACATCTAACGGAATAATTGCTAAGAATAACAAGTGCTATTTTTCATACATTTAAACTGGTATGTTTGGCACTCTTGTTAAACTTAGATGCCAATAATTATGATCCTGACATGTGCGCTTCTTCTGCTCGCCATCTAATAAAACAGTGATTATAAAGATTCTGACAATGTAATGAACTTACAGGACACAAAATGAATGTTTCTTCCTTCTGCGCCCTTATTCGTTATGAGCAAACTTTCCGCATTTTTGAAGCATTGATTTATGTCAAACACATAAAGCTTTTAGATTTAAATCAAACATGCCTCGAGTTTGAACTTGAACTCTAGCAAGCAAATTTTACCCAGCGTTTTGGATAGCGGGTCAAATCTAAACAAGGAGAAATACTGCCATCTAGTGGTTGCAGCGTGGATAGTTGTAAGATAGCATTTTTAAATACACATGCTTTGTTGCTGCAACATTTTTATTTATTTATTTATTTATTTATTTATTTATTTATTTATTTTTGTTTGTCCTTGCATTCTTACTTAAATTTCTACGCCAATTATTTTTTTTTTCCTTCGGCAGCCCAGCCCAGTTTCAGGCTAAGTGCTGAATCGCGTTCATTATTTATGTCAGGGCTTCTCCCTTTCTATTTTTGGAAAAGCGGCAGAAAGCAAGTCGAGCATACGTCAGAATTGGTCATTTATGTTTCAGTCTCCCCTCCCCTCTCTGAATTCCCCCCTTCTGTCTCCCTCTGCAACATACCAGCTGCTCCATCCATCCCATCCGCACACCACGTGACCTACTTCTCCCACGTCCTTCATTCAGCACCATGGCTGTGGATGCTGCGGATGCTCTCTGCTGCATCCTGCGTCCGCGCCGGCTCTCCCTCATCTTTCTCACCGTGACCCTCTCCTCTCTGCCAGCCCCGACGGTGGCGCTGCTCTGCGTCCGCCCCGAAGACACTCAGAGCGGGGATCTGTCCGTGCAGGACGGGATTTTGAGGGCGACCGAGGGGGCTCGCTTCACGCTGAGGGTTTACTACTCCGAGCATCCTAACAGCGCGAACATCAGTGGGAGACCTGACGCCGCACCTGCAGCTCCGTGGATCGCCTTCATAGAGGAGCCGAGCGGCGGCAGCAAGGATGCGGAGAGGGGACTCCGCTCCAAGGGGGACCCGTGTGAGGAGGAGAGCTCCCGGAGCTCCGACATAGAACTGCTGGGCTCCTTCAGGTCCACCTCAAGTCACAACTCTGTTCTGCTTGAGTTGCTGGCCAAAGACTTGCGCAAAGATGAGGTGATCAAATACTACTCCATGTGTGCGTTTGACGGAGTGAAATGGAAGCACTTCAGGACCAAAGACTTCTGGCTGGCTGTGGTGGAGAGACCTCCAGAGCCAGATGTTTGGCTCCAAGCGGGGGTCTCTGTGCTTTTATTAGCGCTATCTGCCCTGTGCAGCGGGCTGAACATCAGCATGCTGGCTCTTGACCCCGTGGAGCTGCGGGTCCTGCAGAACAGCGGCACAGAAAAGGAGCAGAAATACGCATGGAAAATAGAATCCGTGCGTAAACATGGGAACTACATCCTCTGCACTGTGGTGCTGGGCAACGTCCTCACAAATACGTGTTTTGTGGTGTGGATGTGCCAGATTTTGGGAATGACCGCACTCTCGACTACCTCCTGCACTTTGGGGATCTTCTTTATCGGAGAAATATTACCCCACTCCGTTGCGTCCAGGCACAGCCTCGCCATCGCCTCCAAGACTCTGTGCGCCACCCGTTTGCTGATGCTAATTTTCTTCCCCATTGCATACCCGGTGTCCAAGATCCTGGACATCATGCTGCACCAGGAAATCAGCAGCTTTTACACCAGGGAGAAGCTGGTGGCCATGCTGCGCGTCACGGATCCATATCATGATCTGGTCAAAGAGGAGCTGAACATCATCCAGGGAGCCCTGGAGCTGAGGACCAAAACCGTGGAGGATGTCTTGACCCCTCTGACAGACTGCTACATGCTATCATCAGACGCAGTCCTGGACTTTTGTACCATGTCCGACGTGATGCAGAGCGGCTTCACCCGAATTCCAGTCTATGAGAACGACAGGTCCAACATTGTGGACATCCTTTTCGTGAAAGACTTGGCCTTCGTGGATCCGGACGATTGCACTCCCTTGAAAACAATCACGCAGTTCTACAAGCATCCCATGCACTGCGTCTTCAGTGACACCAAGCTAGATGTGATGCTGGAGGAATTCAAGAGAGGTAACCCAACTTTAAGACCCCTAAAGAGGTCTTGTCTGTGGAAATAGTCTGCAAACCTCCCCCTGTGTCTTGTGTTTTCACATGTCCAGAACTTGCATGACTTATGAGTGAGAAATCAGTGTTAAGTGCGTGAGGCGCCACATGGTTTGGAGCAATCTCAGGGAGACATTCTGCCACCTAGGAGTTAACTGTGCTTTGAAGTGACATGCAGTTAAAAACTACATTTTCCTCGCAGAAGTAAACGTATACATCAGTTCATTGGTTTAAAGTGGATCTGCCAGAAAAACACTTTGATCCCCAGAACACTGAAAGCCATATGTGAAATGTGAGAATGTGAATATGGTTCAGCCAGAGGTTAGAAAATACAAAGAACCGTAACAGCGTTGTCTTAAGAATTTGATGAGTGATATAAGTCATTTTCTCAAAACAACCCTCTGAAACACATCTTGCCGCTTTCCTCATTTTTGTTGTCCTCTTTTCACAATACTAAAAGCCCCACTCGTCTACAATGCTGTGTAAAGACTATTTCCCTTCCACAGAATTGTTTCTGCTTGCATTTAAGTTTTTTATAATCATCAAACAAATGTTAATATCGGACAAGCATAGCCTTAGTAAACATAATTAAATGATAAGCCAATTTTTTTTATGAACAGTCACAGTTAAAATAAGAAGGAAACTGGACAAAAACAGTTTCCACAAGATACTTGCAATTGCCGAAACCAGAGCTGAGCAAAATGAATCATTTCACCATTTGCCAAAAATAAATTTGATGATCCACAAGACTTTTGGGAAAACATTTAGCGGAATAAGAGGACAGAAGTGGAACTTCTTGGTATATAAAAATATAATAAACTGTCTGGTAGACTATAGACAACCTAAATGCTTGATGGAAGGTGTTGCCTCAAGGGTGGCACAACTTTTGTATGGTGGTAAAATGTGCTGATTTGCAACATTTGCCTGCAACGAAAGCAAACAAGACACACATTTTCAACCGTCCAAAATAAGTTTAATAAAATGCAAACTTCACTGTCCTGTAACTTCAACGTATTTCTGTGACTCAGATCCATTGCCTAAAAAAATATCAACGCTGACTGATAGTGACACGCTGCCTCTGACAGTGATAGCATCTGTTCACTTTGAAGCAAACATGTCTTAGATACTCCAGTCAGTCTTGAAAATAACACTGAGCATTTAGAATCAGCGCTTTGGAGAAAGCAATTCATGCTGCTCCACTTTCAGCATCAAATCAAATTTAGATGATGAGAAGCTACAGGCACAACTGTTACATAAGGATTACAATGTTGAAGCACCTTGCAAAATTATTGATACCCTTTGAACTCTGCAGACACTGACTGCAAAATACTTCTTTGGGATTTTGTGTGAAAGACAAACACAGGGTAGGTAATAACGATGAAGTATAAAATAAAGTGTTACCTGGTTCTAAAAAAATTTGAATGAAAAGCTGAGAAAATGTGGCACTCCTGGATCTTTTTGCCCCCTGTTCTGTGAGAGGGTTTGCATATTTGTTGGATAACACAAACAGCTTCATAAAGACCAAGGAACACACCAGGCAGGGCACGGGCAAAGATATGGAGAAGTTTGACCTTTGATCGTCTCACTAAGCGTTGCTTAATCAGTCATCTGAAAATGGAAAAAGCGCAGCACAACTTCAAACCTACCTGGCTGTCCCCAAAGCTGACAGGCCGGTCTGGAAAAGCATTACTCAAAAAGAAAGTCAAGAAGTCAACAAAGGTATCTCTGTGCAAGATGTTACCAAAATTGAACCTTTGGGCCTATAAGCTTATAGGTAAATGCATACAAGTCAAAATTGAGAATCTGCAGTACAGCTGGATTTGAAGCTATAATTGCAGCAAACTGTTGTGATTCTACAAAGTGTTGACTGATGGGAGCTACTTACACGTTTGTTCCACACATCAGGTTTTTATTTGGAAGCTAGAAAACCATGCATACTACTTCCTGCGTAGTGACCCACTATTTTGTGTTGGCCTGTTTGTCACATGAAACCCAAATAATATGCAATTAAAATTTGTGGTTGTAATCTGAAAAAAGTTCAAATGATATGAAACCATTTGCCTTACACTGCAAGTCTGTTTTAGTTTAACAGAGTTCAACATTTTGATTGATGACACCGTCCAGTTTTGACAGTTTGTCACTTAAAAGGGCAAGAGGTCAGCTCAACATTTACATGATGACCCCACTGGTTGACCTACGACCTGTGATGATTCAGGTTGTGTGAATGTCAGAGTTATGGAAGGCAAAGTCCAGATTCACCTTTATACGTCTATAGTATGCTTAAATTATAACCCACTGTGCTTTTCAAATCCTTTCATGAAAAATTCAGCCGCAACCTTTTGCTCTTCTTCTCTCCAGCTTCTCTCTGTTCTCTCAAGGATTAACACTTCCCGCTGTTCAGGAAGCTTGGCTGGAAGCCGTAAGGATGTCTCGCTGAGCAGGGTTCGGGATGTTGCTTTGAGCGGAGAATGAAAATGCCATCAGCAATTTAAAAAAGCATAAGTGAGGACAGCATGAACAGACATCTGCAGGAACGTTAACTTTTTTTTTTTGTTTCCTCTCAGCTTCACAGGTTAAGCACTAGGTGTGTTCAGTTTCAGTTTCAGCACCATGTTTAAATCTTTAATGGCTATATTCAGAAACAATGGCACCTAATGAAAGCTTGAAACTTTGCACGTAAAATATAGTTTAAGATAGATTTTTATTGAAATTTGTCAGTGGAAATAAACTTGCCTTTCCATGTGTCTGGTGTTTGCATTAAACACTGCAGCTATTTTAAATTAAGACAAGTCTTGACAGTTAGGCTGTCAATACTAACTGTCTTGACAGGCCAATCATGCGTAAATTATGTAGTTCTCTATTTCTAAAACCTGCTTGACAACTAGACATAGACTGTATGTTGGTGGAAGACTAGAAAACGCATGACTGAAAGATTCAAAGTATATTTTGATGCAGATTGGCGTTGAATCTGCTGCCGATGGTTTGTTGCCACTAGAACTCCAAAATTTTAGCAATGCCATCATGAGACAAGGACGGTGTGTTTGGTTGTTCCTCAGAAAACAACTCTCCATTTTCTCTGGTAAATGTTACAGTTTGAGACTGGATAACTTTTAACGCTGAATGTAAGTGAATGCATAGTTGCACCAGTCCTGAATAACAGTTTATGTAATGTGTCTGTCACAGTTAAATGAACTCTAGATGGTTTTGACTTCTACGTCAGATGTTTTGGAATTTTAAACATATCTACATAATGTAAACTTAAGCTAAACTCAATTCAAGCACCAACTTTCAACAGATGACATGTCTAGGCACTTTACAATCAGGTTCAATTCATATTCTAACTCAGTGGTTCTTAACCTGGGTTCGATCGAACCTCAGGGGTTCGGCGGTACCTCAAAAAAGGTTAAGAACCACTGTTCTAACTACTTAAAAAGAAACTGGACTTCTGCTGACGAAACCTTGAACCAGGTGAAGTGTGGGAAGTGATTTATGTGACCCTAAAAGACCCATTAACGACCCCAACAGCTCAGTTAGGGGGATTGCTTTCACTAAAACTTGTAAGCCTGACACTGTTAACACAGAAAAGACTTATGCATTAGGGGTGAAACACCATCCAATTTATATGGAAACCATTTCAATTTGAATTCAGGTTAGATTGACTGAGTTACATACAATATATAGCCATTTTTTAATTTTTATTTTTTTGGAATAAGCATTTGTTAAAATAGAACGTTTCCATTTAAAAGTTTGAAATAGTAAAAAAAAGAGGTTTAACTGGGGCAAAAAGCAGTAAAACATAAATGTATGATTTAAATACAAAGGTATTCAAAGGTATTCATAAGAGTAAAAGACACTGGATTCCAAAATGTGTTAGCAAGAAGCATTCCCACAATATATATAAGTATGAAACAGCAAAAAAAAAGTGCAAACAACTGTAAAAAACAATTCCTGAAAGGGATGTTGGATTAAAAGTTTATTAAAAATACAGGCATTTTACATTTTATTTGAGATGTATAAAATATCTGAAACATGACCGTTTTACACATATCAGTGTTTTTTATATATATTTTATATTTCTACTACTAATCCATCAGTGCATAAATCATCATCAGATTTTATTTACTTTCAGTTTAACTTTTCCTGTGGCATTGCTGTTACTTTGTTTCATTAAACATTTGACTTTTATAAGGAGATTTTTCAAGCATGAGTGATTTTAATACATAAAACAACTGAAACTCTGTTAGACCAAATCCAGCTTAGAGATATACACAACTTAGTTTGAACTCAATTTTTTTCCGCTAGTTGTTTAATTTGCACACATCCATAAACCTTTTGAAGCATCTCCTCCTCTTTATAAGTGTTATTTTGCAGAAAATTTATCAAAAAAAAAAGAAAAAAAAAAGCACAACCTAAAAGAACAGATGATTTTCCAAAATAGTCTGCAGGAGTCTGGGAAACTGCTGGAGCAGAAGCATTTGTGAAAAGAACATTCACAGAGGACCCATTTTCACCCCGGGCATGTGTGTCTGCGTGCGTGAGCATGCCGGGTTTGTGTCGCTCTGCAAGAGTATTATGTAACACATGAATGATGTAATGCGGTTGCTGGGAACATCAGCTGCTGAGAACAAACCCTCCTCTGCATCACCTGCGCTCTTCAGACACGCTGACCTGAGCTCTGAGAGCAGCCTTGCTGTCTCAGCTAATCTCACACAGCCACAGTCTGATGTGTGAAGATAGGTGCCTGTCAGTCAACCTGATTTTTTTTTTTTTCCCCTCTTGTTGGACTGGATTAAAACATTCATTTTATCCTCTGGCAGCGATCCCCTAAATCAGCCTGTCTCTTGCAGTTTGAGCTTCTAAGTAAGGCTGGAGACTGTTTCATGAAATCTGTGTCCAAATAACGTTGTAAATTTGGTTAGGTAACATTAGTAGTTACCAAGCCGACTTTTTTTTTATTTTTTTTTCCAAAGAAGTACACATAAAAGTTTGAATGTCTACATTGAAGCAGCATATATATATATATATATATATATATATATATATATATATATAAAAAAAAAAAACATGAAAAATTGTTGCCTCTGACATTTGTCCTGATTTTCTCTCTTTGTGATGTTCAAAGGTTGTGGCAACATTGAGTTCTTGTCACATTCGGTTTGCAGACGCAGGGACGCTGCAGGCCAGTTGTGTCACTGTGTCTCGCAGGCTTGTTGTGAGTGGGGGGGTTTGGAGTAGGAGGTTTGCTCATGAGTGCACACAGCATTGTGTTTGCAGAGGTGACAGCAGCAAAGGCAAAGGCGGTTAATTTGACAGATGCGGGCATCATCAGTCGGATTGTGTAATCTCAGCGTTTTACATAAGCGGGTTGAGGTCTTACAAACTGCCAAAATGTCTCCGGACCGATCGCCTGCCCAGCCCGAGAACACGTAAACACGGGCCTGGCGCTGAATTTATTCAAAACTCGACCTCTAAAGTAGATTCCCTTCTTACATGCTCTTGTTGTCTCGACAGTCTGTGTTGATTTTCATCTTGACCAGTTGGAGGCTGTTGACTGAGAGCTATTTTTAATCCAGTGACGCTGCCTCCCCAGCCCCATTGCATGAGCAGTTTTTAGCTCGGCTCCACTTTCTGAAAACGTTTCCCTCTGTTATTTATTTATTTATTTATTTTTTTGACAAATGCAGGCAAGTCTCACCTGGCCGTGGTGCAGCGGGTGAACAGCGAAGGCGAGGGGGACCCTTTCTACGAAGTGATGGGCATTGTAACACTGGAGGATGTGATCGAAGAAATCATCAAGTCTGAGATTGTGGATGAGACAGACCTGTACAGTGCGTAGAAACACTTTCAGATTCACAGTTACTACAGTGTTATTAGTGCTGTTTTATTGTTCCCACTTCTCACATGAAAAATATTCCCCCCTCGCGTTTTCATTAGATACACTTCGCTAGTAGCAGACTGGACCACGTCTGCCTCAAAACTTAGTGACATTAGATTTCAACAAGGTGGCAAAATCCTTTCCAAGTGTCTGGTCTATGTTGGCATGATGGCATGTTGCAGCTGCAGCATATTTGTTATCTGCACACCTGTGATGCCAATCTCCGACTCCACCAAGTCCTGAATAGACTATGAGATTGAAATCTGGTAACTGTGGAAGCCATCAGAGGACATAGGACTCATTGTCTGGCTCACAAAGCCAATTCAAAATGACAGCTCTGTGACGAGGTGTATCATCTTGCTAAAAGTGACTATCAGAAGATGTGGGTCACAAAGAAATGGACGAGGTCAGTAACAATATTCAGGCAGGTTGTGGCGTCTGCATAAAGTTCTGGCGATGCCTTCAGATAAATGCAGCGGAAACAAGAGACTCGTTGACCTTTCTTAGCAGACAGGAGTGGAAGGTGGGTTGCTCTTCATCTACTTCAAGTTGTATGAAATGTTGTATGTTTTGCACACCTTGGTTGAAGTTACTGTTGCAACCTTTTCATCCCCCAAACCAGTTACAATCACTTTCCTGACTACAGGTTCACTCAATAAATCACGTGGGAACGCAGACTGCTTTTAAAGGCACTCATGAAACAATGGGTCACTCTCAGAGGGTCATTCAATTCAAGCTCATGTTATTTTCATGACTGGACCCTCCACTTCCCCACAACCCCTAAATTTGCTAATCAAATTATTGATTCCATCCTCCCCCTGGCTGAGTTTTCCTGCTCCTTTCTGATACATAATTAATTAGTGCAAATAAATGACCCCGGCTCAGTGATAAGCCCCATAATCCGCTCATTTTTAATTGGCTGGAAAAGCTCTCGACAGCGAGGCCTTTAAATGCCAAACACACTTCAATTCATATCTAATCCCGGCTTCACTGCTGCTACCATGAGAAATGCTTCTGCGGCTTGAAGCGTCAAGAAAAAAAAAAAGAAAAAAAGAAAACTCCCGCTTTCAGAAGCAACAGATGTAAATGTTATACAGCTTTTCTTGCAGTGCTTTTCTCGATAAATCCGCAACGTAGGCTGCAATCTTTTTAAAGCACGCAACTAAATTATGATTCGCAGCTGACAATCGGACCAAGAGACGAGTGTCCCACCACGAGAGAAAGCAACAGGATTTCTCTATCTTCAAGCTAGGAGAAAATGAGCTGAAGGTGAAGATTTCTCCCCAGCTGCTGCTCGCCACGCACCGTTTCTTAGCTGCAGGTAATATGTAACGCAGCAAGAAAAGAAAAGACGCTTAAAACCAGGTGCTTGCCTCTTGCTTTACGCGCAGTTGTCTGAATTTGCTTTGCAGAAGTGGAGCCGTTCAGGTTGTGCCACCTGTCGGACAAGATCCTGCTGCGCCTCATCAAACACCCGAGTGTCGTGCAGGAGCTGAAGTTTGACCCCAAGAACAAACACGCTCCTCAACACTACCTTTATCAGAGAAACAAACCAGTTGACTACTTCATCCTCATTCTGCAGGTGACGTTCACTTCCGCGCTAGCGCAGCCGGCTGACTAATATAAACCGTCACCGCGTGAATAAACGCACTGCGTTGGCCTAATCTACGTGGACGTGTTGTTGATGCAGGGACGTGTGGAGGTGGAGATAGGGAAGGAAGCGCTTCGGTTTGAAAACGGAGCCTTTTCCTACTACGGCATGCCAGCGCTAATCCCGCCACTGCCAACTGGTAAGTAACATGTTCCAGTGAACCTGCGATAATAAAAGCAGCAGAAAGCAGACTTTGGCAAAAGACTGCGGCAATAGCAGAGGATGTTTTTTCCTGTCTTAATGCCACCCAGCGTCTGTCGGGCCGCAGACGCTGCAGCAGAAGCCGTGGGAAGAAAGTAATTAAGGGAAGTGTTTTTAGAGAATTTCCCAGTGGAAGGACACGACCTGCAGAAGATTATATGAAATCCAGCTAAGACTTGCGAAGCAAGCAGAAATCCCGCCGTACAGACGCTCTCCCTCTGATCTCTTGTGGAGGTTTTGAGCTCATTTTAAATGTCTGATCCTCAAGTTGTGCCTAATGCTATTTGTAAGCTCCTGCTAAATATTAAAAAAAGTACTATTTTAGGAGATTATGCGCTGAAAACTTCTCACTCAAGCACATGCTGGTGGACAACGTCCAAACCGAGACGCATCTTCAGTTTTTCTTGCGTTTGCTTGACTGACTCACTTCCTTGAAATGAACTTGACAAAATGTTTCCAATGACTAAGGCGCGCTTAGCTGCTAACTAAATTTAAGCATTGTGTATCCTTAAAGATCACAAACTGATGCAAATAGATATTTCTGGGACCAGGATTAAGAGGAGACCACCTTCCCTTACCATCAGCTGTCTAGATGTGGGTTTAAAAGCTAAGAAAATGTTGAGAAAAACGTTCCGGTAGCATGGCAGACACCACAGGCAAAATGCACAGATGCAGGAGTATTTCAGCAGGATTTAAAAGCTTAAAAACAAACGAACCTCAATCACTCTTCAGGAGTTCCTGAATCTTGTCTGCTAAGAGAGACAAGAGGAGGAGACAAATCATAATCGGGCAGGTATACCTCAACAATGCAATCTGACATAGAAATCTACAAAATGTTGGTAGCAGTATCATTTTGTGGGGTGTTTTTTCCTCTAAAGTATGGAAATGGGTTCTGGAAGGATGAATATGTTGAGAGTTTGAATATTTTTGGTAGACAGAGACTGGCAGTTTCAGTGCTCTCAACAAATACCAGCAGAAGGGTCTAGATATTATTTGCATTGTAATATGAATATATATTTCTAAATTATTTGAAAATTCTCATTTCATTGCCCTGCCATGGACTGGCGATCTGTCTAGGGTGCAACGCTGCCGAGGATAATCAATGGCTGGATCGTAGTTGCTTGTGCACAAACTCAAGTCAGAGCATGAAAACAAGACGCGGCTTATATGCACATCTGCTGCGTTTCTTTGCAGCCCACAGATACAGCTCCCGAAGCAGCGGCCTGAACCAGTCGGACTCGTTGCTGAGCGGGGGCAGCGTTGGGCAGCTCACGGCGGGCGGAGGGGCCTATTTACCAGACTACTCAGTGCGACAACTCACAGACCTGCAGATCATCAAGGTCCGAGGGCTTTAAGCAAAACACAGAAACACAAGAAAATAAACACTATTACTATTCACTAAAGTAAACCTCAATTTTCCCTTCATTATATCCTCAATTAAATCTCAAATTTCCTGTACATTAAGGGTAATAACTTAGGATCATGAGCAAGAAACCACATTTTTAAGCTCCCCTAAATTTTGAATAATGTGCACTGCCTCCCTGCTTGCAGAATTTGCCTTTGATACGTCCTAATCGTGGATTTTGACTTAACGCAGACATCCTGTCCCTCAGTCTTTCCTCCCCACAGCCTCTTTCCCCTAATCACCAAGGATAATTGAGCTCCATTTCAAGCAGGACTATATTGGCTTCATGTGGCGGACATGCCCTCTCTTTTAACCCAGTCTTCATGTTCTGGAAATATGGGCCCGATTTCAGTCAATGCCTTGGCTCGAGAGTATGTACAGGCAGCCATGCATGCAAACATAATGATAATAGTTGTTCTCTGCGTGGCGCAGATCAGCAAGAACCATTACCAGAACGCACTGACAGCCACCCGGATGGACAGCACTCCTCAGACCCCCGATGCCGTGGACCCTGACATTAAAGGGAGACCCCCGGGCCCGGAGGCTCGCTCAAACAGCATCGCTCTCCCACTCATGAGCGCACACACTCGACTGGGGCTGGCGCGCTTTGCACACCTCCATCCATACGGCGGCCTTCACAGCACCTCCCAGCTCAACGAGAGAAACCGCATTGTTCGTGAGTTCCTCGCCTGCTTTACGTTGCAATGATTCAACTCAGAGAAAGAAATAAAATAAAAAGGTAGGAAGTAAAGATAATGGAGGCAATGTCAGTCCAGAAGTCATTTCTTTTTAATATATTTGTAGGCTAGGCAAGTTTATTCATACAGCCCTATTCATATTCAATTCAGTGTCTTAAAGGAAAATTGAGGAGCAAAGTAGAAAATATTGCACTACGAGCAAGAAGTACATTAAATTAAACATTAAACCAACATAAACTAGAAAGAAAAAGTACAAACCCTTGCGAAAAGATAAGAAGAAATATTAATCTACATATATTTTGCCTTTAAAAATAAAAGTGATGCGATTGACTCCTAGCTTAGAAGAACAATTAGTTTCTACAACTCTCTCTCTAATGGAAATTTTAGTCTCTAATCCTAAATCTTCTGCTCTTATATTTAATATTTGACTGGACTATACAAAAGTACATTAAATAGTAAATGTCAGGTTCTTTACCTCCCTCTACAGGCGGAGTCTAAAACGACCTGCAGCTTTACTGGCATCTCTTTTACTGAACCGTCTTCCCTCCAAACAGGCAGCAAATCTGATGGGCAGAGGAGTCCAAATGACACAGTGTTCCTTCGCATGGATGAGATTCCTTACATCCACGAGGACCGACCGGAAAGTTCTGCTGACAATGGTGAGCGGGCTGCTGACCCTCAGAGGTCAAAATCTGTATGTATAAATGGTTTATTTTGAAGCCCGTGATTTTTAGGTTGAGTGAGGGATAAAAGCTTTGGTTGTGCTTTATCTTTGAAATGTCTCAGTCAGTGCAATTAAGTACATCGGAAAATGTACATTTAAGACCAGTTAGCACCAGGGGTGTTGTAAATTATTATTTTAGTAATCGAGTAATCTATCGATCATTCTGAAGATTAATCAAGTAAGTCAATAAAAATTTTTTTTGATTAAATGAAATACTGCCTTAACAGCAGTATCGATATCAGATATCAACATCTACCCAAATACTCATATTTGTGCATACCCACAATTACTTTTTTGTAGTTTATAAAATTAACTTGTAACAATGATAGCTCACTTTTTAAGTTAACCTGGACAACAATTTTCCAAAAATCTAAAATAAAATAAATAAAAAAAGCAGCAGGTTCACAAAGGCACTTCTTAAAAATGTCTATACTACAGTTTATGGTTTATGAATTCATCTTAAATCAGTTTATTAGATAAACTCTCACTTTACCCGGCCATTTATTTGTGTCCATGCGTACAACTGGATTTGGCTCCTTCGTCACACGGAGAAAAACACACACCAGCTATGTTCCGCCACGAAGTGCTCCACCACCCGTTTGTTGCGACCGGGATGGCGGGAAATTTATTTTCCGGTTCATCCATGAAGCTGCCCACTGTGTTTTGCTCCGCCCGTACGCATTCGTCCGCGCTCTTTGGCGCCGTTCGCTCTGAACCAGCCGCTAGGCAGCAGCTCCAGATGGAGAAAGGTTATTGTTTAAATTGTTCACTTTGAAAATAAATTAGAAAAAAAAAATGTATTGACAATTATTTTAATATGATGGGAAAGGTCTGCATAGCTGGAATGTTGTTGGAGCGATTCCAGGTTCCTCTACCGCCATTTTGGCGAACGACTGAGCAAGAAACTCAAGAATAAATTGCAAACTGACCTGCAGATTTGTGATTGCAGCTTAAAAAGAAAAAAAGTTGATTAGTCAGCATGGTTAAAACTCAGTATATAAGTTCGGTTAACTACTTCAGGGTCGGATACAATTTTTTAAAACTACATTACAAGCTTTACCCATGTGTTACCCAAGTAACATTAGTGGAGGTGGTACAGCTACTTCCACTAATACATGTAATACATCTTTGGTATGTGTAATACTGCTTTAAGTTAAAGTAATTTTGAGCATTTTTTTCCCCCACCTGTGTGAGATTTAATTTAATGAGGAAATCTCTCATGTTTGTTGCAGATGTGCCTACGGAGCCGTCCACCTCCCCCTTCATCAGCTCCCTGTCCCTGTCCAGCTCAGAGGAGAACATTGGAAAGAAGCTCCTGCGTAAACTGAGTGAGTGAGCGGCTTGTCGTGAGCGCCGGTGCCACAGCTCACCCACACACGCTGTCAGATGTGCCTGAACTTTTCTGTCAGCTGCAGCAATAGTCCCGAGCGTCTCCTAGCAACAGATTACGTGTGGTGTCCCTGTAAAGCAGCCCACTACTTCCTGTCGAGCAGCTCCTCCAAATGCAGCTGTTCTTGCTGGCACAGATTTGTGACAAATTTTTTTCTGAAATAATTCAGTCATTTTTGGCTTCGGCTGAGTTCCGCCCCAGTTTGAGTCAGATGCAAAAATTGAATATTACGCTTAATCTCTGCTGCGGCATCTGGAGAATGCAGGTATGTCAACCGGCTGTGCCAGATTACCATGTTCTCCTCTGTTTCTAGGTAACAAGAGGAGGAAAAAGTCTCGAGAAGGAGAAAAGAGTTTGGAGGAGGAGGAGGGGTCAGAGCAGCCATCGGTAACAAGCTAGTCCAGCAAAATTGAGGAGGAGGGATAAATCATGCACACCCTTCCTCTTGTTATTCGCTGGACACCCTGCGTACCTAAAAGTTATTTGAACTTGTTCAACTCTTCTTCACCCACTTATAAATCCTCAGGACCCCATGGATACATCCTGCCCTCTTTTTGCCTGGAAAAAAAAAAAAAAGAACTTGATAGGACATACTTTAACAACACATCCGACAAGTTAACTCTTTCAGCAGACTTCATTCAGTTTTATCCACTTTCTTGGTGCAAATCGTCTCCATATTACCTTTTAATAGTGGGCATATTTACAATGAAATACCTTATACTGAAATACCAAAACATCAAAGTATGAAACAGGGTTTACTTGAACAAACAAAAAAAAGTGTTTGGTAATAATTTTTTTCATTATTATTGATACTGTGTGGTAGTTTCCACATTCTGAAAATGACTGCGAAAGAAGCTTATGATGTTGCCAACCAGGGGCCCGACTACTTCCAGCACAACTGACAACACAAGGCGAAATAGAAAAGGCCACCAAACAGGAGCACAATTTACACATAGCTTCTTAAAAAAGCCATAAAATTGCCAATTCTTAGTCTGATTGTAAAGAAATCAGGTAAAAGTAAACAAAAAAAAAGAGAGCAAAGTTTCTTTAGTTTACATCTATACGAAAAGTGTCAACATTGCCAGTGTATGTGATACGAAAATAATGCAAGTCATAAAAAAATGCTTTAATTGCACAGATTCATCAGCACATTACATCCTTTTCCAGATGCTGTCTTCTGACAGAAATGCTTTTTCTACATAAACATCTGCTTTTCCCGTCAAAACATTCCCGTCTGTCAACAAGTAGCCAAATGGGCACAACTGCAATACTTCTACCCAACAAACATCCTCAACTTTCTCCTGACTTGATCGCATCCAGTAAAACAGAGTCTAGGGAATTTCATCACCTGCTTATAGCCTAATGTAGGGGAGCTTTAGATATTAATATTGTTTTTTTATCGGTACCAGTCACTAAAGCTGCATACACCAGCTAATTAATAAGCTAAAAGGGTTTAGGGATCTGTGGATCTGGGGATTCAAACAGATAGCTGCTGCAGTGCTATCAAAAGTATTCACACCCCTTGAATATAGTTTAATATGTCACAACTAGAAACTCTGAACCTGTTCAGATTTTATTTGATAGATCAACTCAAAGAAGTGCACAACTATGAGGTTTCTGACTGAATGTTTATTTATTTTTTTTTTTTAACAAATATATATGGTGACCAATTAAGGCAATTAGTTAGACTGGATTTATTTAGTAGTATCAAAATAAAGGGGATTGAATGCAACTGGTTGTTATTGTCCTTATATATTTCTTTAGAAACAGATTGAAAAACAAATTTCCTCTTACTTAACAATTATGAAGTGAACATTTAGTGAAAAAAATAAAAATATCGAAGTCTGGGGTTGTGACATGACAAAGCACGGGCAAAGAGGTATGAATATGTTTGGAAGCGACTGTATACTTGCATGTTTGTTTCTGCTCCTTGTACTGTAACCCTGCAAAGGCATTGTTTCTCTTATGCATGCTAATGTAAAAAGAAACTAAGCTCCCTGTGAAAGTGAAGTCTGCAGTTAGTCTAAGTAGATTTCATAAGTCTGACAAAGACTGCAGGCTAACATTTAACACAAAAATACCTTCATATAATAGAGAAACCTTCATGAAAAGGCTCCTTTAGGAGCTCATAATAAGGCACAGGAGGACAGAGGTCATTTGAAAGGCATGTCAGTGAACTTACTCAGATAATCCTACGTTACTGCAATAATGAAATGGGGTGGTTTATTTTAAAATAAATAAATAAATAAAATAAGAGCAGATTTATGTTTGATATTTGCTGATCTGTATTTTGAAATCGTGCCAGGTTCACTGCCAAACAGAGCACAGGCAGAGATTTCAGTGATGAAAGCCACTGAATCCACACCAACGTCAAGTCGACCCCCCCTCCCCACATCTGTTAACCCTCTTCAAACACAGCCGATGTTTGGAGACTCTCCCTGATTTAATTCATTCTGCCTGGGACGACAGTGTAAGTACAAAGGATCCTGCACAGCTAAGCTACTCGGAGTGATCTGGCAAGCGCAGGACACTCGGGGGTAAAAGTGTCCTGATCCGACGGCTGACTCAGACAGAGAGGATTTGAACGTGGCATAAAAATGCTTTTAGAGAATTTATAGATTTGTTGGGACTGGTAAAAATGTTTTGGATTTAAAAAAAAAAAGAAAGAAAGTTAGGTTTTGCTATGTAAAATCCAAATGACTATATGAAGATGTAGAGAAACATATCATTTGATCTAAATGAGAGATTATATTAATAAATTTACTAACCTATTACTCCTGCATTCTTTTGCTTTTGTTCCCGTTGTTCGGCATTATCAATTTAATTTCCCAAATTGTTACGATACGCAAACTTTGCAATATTTTTAACACGATGTGCAGAGAGAGGTTGTAAAGATAACCCTCGTCAACTGATTTAGAAACAATACAAACATAATACTCATAAGTCTTTATTGGAAATAACCAGCTTCCAATCAACTCTTTCAGCCTCAATTAAATTGCTTATCAGTCTGTTTGCAAGTGTTCTGTACATAGAGATGTGATAGCAGGCTGGTTGATCATTAGTATTATTTTCGAGCAGCAACTCTTGCACAAGAGCTAGTCGGAGGGTCAACAATAACAGGCAGGAACCTGACAGGATCGGAAATATCAAGACGGAGCCTGTAGGACTGAGCACACATTTCCCTGTAGTTGCGACACCCGTCAGGACTGATCGATGCTGCTTGTGCTGACTGGAACTGGTAAGAAATACTACACACACACACACACACAGGTTTTAAACAAGAAAATAGTTATAATTCCACAGGGTATTAATAAATTACATAGTTAAAAGTGAAATGCATTCCTGAGAACAATAGTTGAAGTTTCATCCAGCTATAATTTTCCATCAGTCGTTCTTAGCAGCTGAATTATAAATTAAATTGGTCCTTTGAAGGACCAATTTAACCTTTTTCACACGTGGAGAAGAAGGAAGCTCGAGAAACTGTGGTAAAACACAGACAAGCTTTTCCGATGACACAAAGACAAACAACAAAATTAACACGTGGAACAAAACAAAGAACGTGATTTATAACAACATGTCCGTTGTACGAAAGGACAAAAACTACCTGCACAGAAGCATCCCTATTCAGGAGTTGCTTAACTTGTTTTAACACAGTAAATTAAAATTCAGAAACAAAATCCTCATTTTGTTACAGATAACAAAAAATCTGTGGGAGAACCACCATCTCTGGAAGTGCCGAGAGCTGCGAGAGCATCCTACTGCACCGTAGTAACAGCCTCATGGATGGACTCCGCCACATAGTCGATGTTCTTGCTGGTCAAACCACACATGTTGATGCGACCACTGGCCATTAAATAGACATGCTTCTCCTTCACCATGTATTCTACTTGTTTAGCTGCAGAAGATAAAAGCAAAGAAGCAGGAAAATTAGAAGTTTATAGTTTTCCTCTTAGGCTTCTGTACATTCGCCTTTTGTTCTTAGTGTCGACAGCACGTTCTTGAACTCACAGTTGAGGCCTGTGAAGCTGAACATGCCGATCTGGTCTGTGATGTGGTCCCAGGTCCCTGGAGTTCCCAGAGACTGGAGCTTGGCTTTAAGCTGAGCCCTCATCAGTAAGACTCTGTCAGCCATTGTCTTCACGTTGTCCTTCCTGAATGGTTAAAAAACATGGAGAGTCCAAAAATCAAACATTAACTTAGTTGGCCATTGAAGTGAAATGCCTTGCAAAGTGATTCTGTGAGGAGATTTTTCCACTGACCACTCAGAAAACAGCTCCGGTGAGTTAAGCGTGATTGCGACAATGCGAGCACCCTGAGACGGTGGGTTGGACCAGGTGGTCCTGACAATCTTCTCCATCTGGGAGAGAACTCTCTTCAGGTTATCTGCATCCCGTGCCACGATTGTCAGGTTACCCACACGCTCATCTGACAGGTAAGCAGAAGTAGCATTGAAAAAGAAGAACAGGTTTTGGTTTAGTGTCGCATCACTGTGATATATTTCCCATAACCTAATGCAATTGCCTTTCAGAAAGGTGCGATTTGGTTTTTGGAAGACAATACTTTGGAATGCCAAAGTTCTCCTACACCTTAATCTGGCCTTTATGGTAAAATGGGAGAAAAAAAATACAATTTTGTTGAAGGAAGGCCGCAAGGAGTCCTGTTTACAGTTTGACATAAGCTGTGAATGAGACAGGATACATGAGGAAGAAGGTTTTCTGGTCAGATGAGAAGAAAATTTAACATTTTGACCTACATGCAAAAACATAATGTGTAAAACATGGAGTTCCTGGGAGACTTTTCCTTTCACTTCACAATCATGCACAACTTCTATCAATCTTAAAATCCCAATAGAAATGTGACATGTCTGTGACAAAATGTGGAAAAGAATGAATGCCTTTGCAAAGCATTATAATTCACTTTTCAAATAGGACATGAGATTTGTTTTACGACTACTGTTCTTACGTTGTGTGACCTTTCTCCGTGTACTCACTGGTTACCTACTGTAGAGTCCGAAGTTCTTTGAGAAAGACTGAGCGCAGAACATTTCAATGCCCATGGAGACAAAGTAGCAGACAGCCCAAGCGTCTTTGTCAAGGTTACCCGAGGCAAATCCCTGATAGGCCGAGTCAAAGAACGCAAACAGTTTTCGCCTCTGGGAAGAAAAACGCAAATTATTACCCAGTAAAATGTGAAAAATGACAGATCACTGAGTGGTACTAAATAAACAATGCACCGATTATGTGTATTTCTAAAGCATTATACCATCATGACTTCAGCTATCTGCTTCCATTGCTCCTGCGAGGGGTCCGTTCCAGTGGGATTATGGGCACAAGCATGTAGGACAAAGATGGAGCGCTCTGGACAACTCTGCAGGGAAAGACAGCAATGCAAACTCATATTAAACGTAACCACTCTGAATCTAAGTTTAGTAATATTTAAGTGCTTGCCTCCAAGTCCCTGAGAAAACCTGACAAATCGAGACCTCTCTTCTCTGCGTCCCAGTATTTGTATGGGCGCACGTCCTCAAAACCAGCACTGCTGAACACGGCGTTGTGATTTTCTGGAACAAACAGTAAGGACAGGTTTTACACCACAAGTTTTTTTTACTGCCAAAGCTTCCTGTAGATAGAAGATTGGTTTATTGGTGTTACTCACTAGCAACAGACCACTGATCAGAGGCGATAGCAGTAGGACATTAGTAATTCTCAGAGCACAGATCTGTAAGCCAATCAAATTCTGCAAATGAGGGGCTTGTCTCCAGATCAAGCAGCTTCAGTTCTTATTTTAACGTGAGATCCTGTATTGTTCATATGTCAGCATGTGCGGACATACCCCAAGTAGGTGCGGACACGTAGACGGGTGTTTTAGTGTTGTTGCTCCCATTGTAGAATCGCCTCAGGAACTCTGCACCCATCTTCAATGCACCGGTACCACCAAGACACTGGACACCGCCCACCTGAGCGAAACAGCAGGAGACCGTCAAACCACATGTGAAAAGATTGAAAACTGAAAAAAAAATAAATAAATAATAAAAATCCCCACACAAATTTCTACAACACAAACCCTGTCCTCCCGAATGGCAGGGCTGTCGTCTCCCAGTACAATCTTGGAGGAGGAGGATCTGAACTCAGGGAGGCCCAGGATGGGCAGGTACTCGTGGTTTAGCCTGTCGTCGTGAACGATAAGCTTCTCCACCTTTTTCACCACCGGTAAAACCCACGGCTTGCCTTCATCGGTCCTGTACGCTTCGGGACACCGAGACATTTGTCATTATTTCAGATGACCTTAGAATATAATCTGTACATGTCCCCCAAATGACTGACGAGTAGGCCAAATATTTTTTTTTTTTTTTTTTTTTTTTTTTAAATGCATGGAAACTTAAAATTTCCACCATCCCATCATCAAACAACATTGTGTAGCCAACTTGATACATTCTTTTTAAGCTTATTGACGAATCTAACAGAAGTTACGACCACATGCTTTGAGCATTAATAGATAAAATGTGTTAATTTTCTGTTACAATCAAAACGGCTACCGCTGTTAAAGAAATTAAAAAAAAAAAAATCTCTTATGTAATTCTCCTCTACCCCACACCAAAAACAATTCAAAATAAAAAAGAATAGACAGGGAAATGCTTACAATTTCTGTGTTCCATTAGATTCATTTTACGTATTTGTTTTGTTTGGGTTCTTTATCTCAGCAAAAGGTGATTAAAGCCATGCAGGTAACAGGAACATAATTATATTTCCTGACAAAATATTTCACATAATGTAGAATGTGAATTTAAACTCATCGGGCTTCTAGTAAAGTTACAAATTACACAACTTGTCCAATGAAAAACAAAAACCTACATTCAGAGTTGACCAATTAGTTTGTTGAGTTTTTATGTAAAAGCTTGGAAAAGAGTATTTTCTCGTGGGGACTTTATGGCTGTAAGAAATAAATCTGTATTGCTCCAACCAGACTAAGCAACATCCACACATATCTAGTGATATTACTTTAAATTAACATATCACTGTTTTCACAGGTTCATTGGAATTCAGCATAAAGAAATGAATGATTTTGGTTAGAGCAAGTAAACAAAAAGTGAACAGCCTCATGCATGCTGTCCTGAACAGCAGAACAAAGGTGATCCCAGCCCATAACTGTTCCAAGACACACCTCACATGTGCGCACTTTCATCTCTCTGTGTTTTTGCCAGGTAAAGTATGAGCAAACACCTGATAAGGAGCGCAACATGTAATAACCTCTTTATCCCAGGAACAGAGATCATCAGCTTACACCAACTCCACCATGTTGACAGTTTCTTTTTCTCGTTTTATACAATGACTTGATAATAAAATAAGTAAATAAAAGCTACCAATTTTTTTTAAATTTTATTTATTTTCAATTTTGTTTTAACTTTAGTGGACTACTTTCTTCAGCTCTGTAAATAACTCCCCTTTGCATGTGGCACCAGACACTGTGTGCCCTACATTTACCAGCTGCGCAGTAGCTTTTGGCCATCTGCAGCATTGTGCGTCTTGCACGGGATGGGGATTACATGATCTCAGCCTCCGGTACTAATCATGGGACTAGGCTGGCCTTGTCCTGCCATGACAAAGCCACACAATGTTTCTCACACTACTCATTTGAAGGAGGAATTTACTCTTTCAATACCAACACGGGAAACACTTGTACTCGGGACTGGGGGCGATTGATCTTTTTTTTTTGTTTTGTTTTGTTTTAAAAGAGAAGACATTACATTTAAACCCCTACAAGAGGAGTGTTCTGGATGACGTCGCAGTAATCCAATCGACTCTGTCAGAGAACAGAGGTGACTTCATAGAACGCCAGAATAAGATAGCGAAAGCTGTAGAAATAAAAATAAAAGGGGAATGGAGAATTATGATTCCCTAACTAGGCTGCTTGAACACAATGGGTCTGATTAATCATACGCCACCCCTTTTTGGGTTTATTATTGCTGATCTGTTATTGCAGGACATTCGTGGACGCTTCAAATCGCATTTTATTTATTTATTTATTTTTTTCTATCAAGATTTCTCAAAGTTATATTATAAAACTCATAGCAGTAAAAATGCATTCTGACTGCCATTGTAAGAGCTGCGTTAAATTTAAATAAAATAAAAAAAAATAATAATAAAATTAATGTTATGCCCTTCCTCACTTATAGACGACGTCCCTGGACATAATTTTAGGTCTCAGAATTCAGTGAAACGCCTCATCATTGCGCCACGCAGCAGCTGCAGATGCCCCTGCACGGTTACCATGGTTAACGCTTCACAGCGCGCATCTTACCTCCCACTCCGAGGTTCACCTTATTTGGAAACTGGTCGTTATTGAAGTCCTGCGTAAGTTTAAAGACAGCAACGGGGGCTGCTTGCTGCACGTCACAAAACACCGACATGTCTTCTTTTAAAGACGGCTGTAGCGGCAGGGAGTTGTCACCTGAGCAGCAAGCTAACTGGATGTAAGAAGACTCTCACCTTCCACTCGGCTTTCAGTGGCGTCACGTCACAGTGGGTGTGAGTGGATTAACCAATGGGACTTCGCCGTGAACATGTCGTCAGTGGTTTTTGCCAGGTTAAAGTTCGAAAAAGAAACACCTATTTGTTAACCAATGAACGCCTCCGAGTCATGACTGACAAATCTGAATACAAATCTGTGTGGTTCAGATTGTCATTGCAATAAAATTTAGTACCACAAGGTGGTGCTAGAACCTCGTGGACTTTGTTTCGGGACATTAAAACGGAATGTTCAGTAAATAATGAAGTGAGTTAGAATGCCTTCCAAAAGGTATTCACACTCCTTGAGTGCTGGTCACAATCACAAGCCTCTATTGCATAAAATTCTAATGGAATTTTAGAATAAAGGACTTCTCCTTTATGTACCATTTTGCATATAAAAACTTACATTTTGTTTTCATCTGAGCCAAGCAGTTTTTCTAAATGTGTTCAACACGCAGTGAAACATACCATCCAAATGGAACTTCTTCTGACTTTCTGTCAATAAAACTTTTTTCTTTTCACTCTCAAACTTCAGATTTGTTGAGTACAGAACAAATAGCTATGCTATATGCATAATGGTCACAGTAGATTTTATTTATGAGTAGCAGAGAAAAATGGGTTGGGAAATAAAAATGCACTCTTGCAATCTGTATTTTTCCTTCTGCTGCATATATGCAGAACATTTTGTTGATATATTAGATAAGATCCCACTAACATACAATGAAGTTTCTGAAGTTTTCACTGTAATAAATTGAGGCACCATGTGACAAAATATGAAAATGTTCAAAGGATATAAACACTTTATTAAGACCTTGAAGTCCTGCACAGTTATTTCAATGTTTTAGACAAAATAACTGATCTTGAGGGGCAAAGGTTATATGAGATGGCTTAGTGTTTTTCAGAAGGAGAGACCAGACACCCCCATCATAAATGTCAGGTACTTCCCAAGCTGAACAAATGCAGATAGTCGCATGGTCTGGCTGTATGGCGATTGAGCAACTGCATATAATTCTGTTTCAGTGTGCAAGTATCCTCATCCGTTTTGTCCTGAGGGCCTTGGCTGAGATATGATGTAAACAAACTGGCTCTCCTGTTTTCTCCCCACAGCTGTCTGCAGGAGCTGAAGTGGTTGATAAATGAAGGTCAGTCCAGCCAGTTAGATGGAGAGAAATCAGTTTCAAATATGTGTCTTTTAAACAAAAGAACCTATGCAGATATTTCTATGGAAGTATGTACTCTAATAATGAGCAAACAAACACATTATTACGATGAAGACATCGCAGAAAACATGGTTTAATAATAATAATACTGAACGCACTGTAGGTGAAACCAGAAAATGTTAAACAGAATATCATCCTTTTGATTTAAATCTTTAATTTATTACTGTACTCTTTCTTTTAGCTCAGTGGGTTTTAATTTTTGGATTTAGTAGAAGCAGAAGTATTTTAAAGCCCTAGATGGAAAGAAATAAAAAAGATGGAGTGAAATCATATCAGGATTTCAATGCTGAACTTTTTTTTTTAACCAGTTCTCAATGAGCCATGGTGATTTTTGCACAGCAATTAAGCAACATTGCATCAAAATTGCGACAACCATACTTTTCGCAAACGTAAATACTTGACTTCTTACTCATCAGGACAACTCCCAGACTCAAAACCAGCAGGAAAGATGAAATAATAACAAGGAGAACAGACTGAGTCGGAGTGAATAAAAGGGTGCAAGGCGTAATTTTAGTTTCATTTTGTTTTATCAGACATATCAGGTTGCACCCGCATACAGTTCCATTATATAATGTGATTTAATTGTGTAATTTGGAGACTTGCCCACAGGTCAGCTGAACAGAATGGTGTTGCAGCACAGTTCAGACAGACGGAGAACACATCTTGTTCCCACATTATCCATTTGAAAGCACCATTAGGCCAGATCAGATATGACAGAAGGGACACCTAATCAACGAAGAAATGATTAATGTGAATAAGATGTTTCAGGAAAATCAGATCGTGCATATTCTTCATTTTCAGCCCTCTGGGAATTTGCAAAAGGAGTTAACCAAACGACTGACAAGGAGGAGCATGACCCCTAACTTTGAAAGCAAAGCTTAAATTTTTAAAGCACATCTCTTATCATTATGGGTGTGAACGGAATGAATCCCTGCGTGCCAATCATCTGAACTTGAACCTAATAGTGCTAATATTTTATGGTTTATGAATTCTGCTCCCTGTTATGGCATCTTGAGGGAGAGAGTCACCTCCGGTTGAAACATGCTTAGGTTATGCAGCAAAGACACTTGTAAATGGCTAGAAGAAAACAAAATGACAATTTTGGGGGGGGGGAGGATAAGTCAAACCCAAAACTTAAATCTGATTGAGATTCAGTGACATGATCCTAAATGTATCTTTAGTCTTCAGCTGTGAATGAATTAAAACTATTCCTGCGAAGAAGAAATTGCCACACCGTTAACACAAACACATGATGGTGACAGAAGTAGTTATTATATTTAGAGAGTAACTACTTCTTCACGTAAGATTTGGAAAAGATTTATTTTTCAAATGTCATTTAAAAACTAGGTTCTATATTTACTCATGTTGATATTAAAATGCGATGAACGATCTAAAAAGCAGAAAGTCCTCTGTGACATTTTTAAATTCTCAGAATTTTATTTTAAGTTCAGTAGTTTTTCTGAAAATTATTATTATTATTATTATTATTATTATTATTATTATTATTATTATTATTATTATTATTATTATTATTATTATTTATTTTTTGTAATTATTATTATTTTTTTTATATTAATGTCGCTTTCATGTCATCAAAACCACTAATGTGATTTAAGCCTTACAAACCCGTTGCAAAGCACACTAACAAAAGATGTGCAAATAATCCCAGTACTGGTTGCCAAACACCACAGTCACTATTTTCTCCCTCTTTTTATCCTTAAATAGTAGCCGACTCACTTTCCGCACAGCCGACCCCGCCCCCACACTCATCTCTTAGCTGCACACTAACAGTAGATGTTTTCATTCTTTACAACCAGGTGAGGGTGTCTTCTATGTTAGCTATCGCTGTCAACCCTGCAATTATGGGATTTGAGCTTCCAGAACAAGGCTTAGGGGCTAGCAGCGGGGTCTGCTGTGCACGCTCTCAGGAGGCCTCAGGGCCACGGGCTGAGCTGTGATGTGAAGTGTGAGTCGGAGCAGGGAGTGACAGGAGTATCCCGTGGCATGAAAGTGCCCACGGGGAGAGAGTCTTTCAAATCCAAATCACTGAGTCACTCAGTCAAACACTCGCAGGCGCCCTCCATTCAACATTCACCTCTGCGCCACAGAGGAAAACAACAATACTAGTGAAAAGAAAGAAGAAAAACCAATAGGGTTTTGGGGTTTTAAGTCCCCTTTGCAATGATGGAGTACGACACTAAAAAAAAAAAAAAAAAAAAAACGCACAAAGGCAAACATTCAGGCACAAGACACTCACATTCCAGCTGTGGTGTCACCGAAACACAAACAAGAGCGTGTGCTCACACAGCGCTGCTCATTCCTGGGTATGAGGGGTTAGCTGGAGGGGTGAGGGTGGGCGGTGGGGGGAGGGGGGGTTCATGCTGCTCACATGTTGCTGCGGCCCCTGTGTCTCTGGGTCACAGAACTGTGGTGAGTGACCACCTTTTTAGCTTCCCGCCTTGTTTGTTTTCAAAGACAGTGTCATCAATTCTCTAACAAGGGACCAGACACAGCAACAACAGAGGAGCAGAGGACCTCCCTGCATCGCCCACCGACTGATGGAGCCTGCATGGAGCTAGCAACATCAGTCATCTGTGTGTATGGCAGCATGCCAGCTACTGCATGAGTGCATAATGTCTGTTTGACTTTTGCATGTAAATACCTTTGTGTCGTTCATTTGCTTCGTTTAATGTCATGGCACAGCATCGCTCTTTTTTTTTTTTTTTTTTTTTTTTTTTTTGCCCTCCCATTCACATTTATTAGTGAATGTATGTTAAAAGAAAAGTCTATGACAAAAACAATAAGAATATTCACTTCAAAGTATAAAAAAAATGCCAGAATTTAGACCTTTTTGGACTTTAGTGATTAAAGACTGACGTATGACTGCAACAGTTGATATTAGAAAAATTAAGCAAACTGCAAAAATAAGTTGAAAATCACAGTAATGTGATCATATTACATTAGAGTTTGTTCAGAGGAATGTTAACAATAGTCTCCTAATTGACTTTGTCATTGAACGCTTTGATGTGGCCTTCAAGTTATGAGACTGAGTGGGACGTCAACACAGAAGGCCTACATTGTGCTACTCGGACTGATTGATGTTGTCTTTTGGCTGACTGCTGCAACCCAGTTTCATACAAATATGCAGGCTGAGGCACAAAGACGGGAAGTGGACATTTTGTGTCTGAATGTTTACCTTGAATGTTGTTTTTTTCCAGTGTTTTTGGAGATGCAAAAGTTGTGAATGGGGTTATTTTTTGTTTAATTACCCCAACTCTTAAGTGTTGATGCACATCAACACTTAAGAGACAGATAATATCACTCCCTGCTGTACACAAAGGTCAGAAGTCAAGGACAGGGAATTATATCCATCCAAATATCAGATCACCTTGAACATTGTTATTGTGGGTATGATGGCAGAAGCTCAGAAAACTATTGAAGCTGATGGAAAAACACATACACAAAATTCTAAAATAAAGAAAAAATGAATCGGTTATTTAACTGTATATTTTCAACCTTAGGCTTTTGCATATTTATACACAAACTCTTGATGTGCAGTCTCTTTCGAATAGCCTTCACGTTCAGTAGTTGGACTAACGGCACCCATTTTGTGCTAGAATTGCACGTGAAAACATAAACAAGAAATAAACGATGACATGATTAATATGTTATTGTCACCTGACATCATGATTGTGCCACGAAATACTTTATCTTAAAAGACTCGGACATAAAAAAAAGGGGGGGGGTTAGATAATACCAGGTATGTAAATTTAGTTTTGAAGCTTTAGTTGCACAAATATG